GCCCCCCAGCAGGCCCCGTGCCCCCCGCCAGCACAGGCAGCCCCTGGCAGGGGCAGGAGGCCACTAGTGCAGGCACACACACTGCACACTTCCAGATCCCTCAAGGGGCTCCTGCACCCCTGCCTGGACCCGGGGCCTCTGACCCCAGCACGGGTCCCCAGTGTTATATTTTATTAGTGAAACCACACCAATATTAATTTAGTAATTTTATTAAGCAAGCAGCAATAAGTAAAACAGCTCTGGGCAGTCGGGGAGTTTCCTCACTCCACCAACGGTGTGCAACAACCCCCCCAAAGTCTCTTATTATATACTCTTCTTCTTCTCTGCCTTCCAGTGGTCTTGAAGGAGGGGGTTGTGTCATTCTTGGTGATTACTTCATAAATTTTACACACATGGTCACCCCACCTAACCCAAATTCTTCCCCCTATTTTCATTGTTTACAACACAGAATAACTGTAGGTTCAAAGCGAGCAAGCATGGGATTTCAGACTGCTCTCACAACAAATTCTGTTGATTAATCTTTAAGCAAGCAAAATAAGTTTTAAAGTAGACAAAGAAAGTAATTAAAAGAAAACAATTAAGCAATCAATTAAAAGAAAACAATTTAACAATCAAAGTTTGATTAACAAACTACAGGTTATCCATCACACCCAGCTCATCTGCTGTTCCCGAACTTCCACTGACACCCCCAGTGTCTGGGGCTCCCCAGCTTTGCATCCTCCCAGTCTGAGGGGCCAGGCTGGTCCTCCCGGGGCGGTGCCTGCAGGTTTGGGGTGCCCCAGTGAGCAGCCTGAGCGATGAGGTTGGCTTAGACTTCTCTCCACTGTCCTCTGTTGGGGCTGTGTCTCTGTACATCTCCTTTATCACTCCCCTCTTTTCCTCCTCACCCCTTTCCATCAGGTCCCTCGCCAGGTCCCTTTCCACAGGCAGATGCTCTTGCCTCCCACACGTGCCCCAGTCCTGGCTGGGCTGGAGGGTGCTGGACCTGGCTGGGCAGGGTGCACAGTGGGGCTGCCTCCACCACACGCCTTGGGGCAGCAGCTTTCCCTGGCAGAGACACCCCCGATGGCCTCACCTCTTGGCCGGGAAGGAAATGGCTTTTAAGTGATTTTTAAGCTGCTGTTGGACTCTGCTCCCACCCTGCTGCTGTCTCTGGGTGTGAATCCTGGTTCCATCACCTCCTTCCTTCCGAGGGGCTCTGGGCTCTTCCCGGGGGCTGTGCAACTGCTGCCAGCATCCATCTCCTGCTGGGTCCGTGGGGAGCAGCCCTGGGAGGTGTCTGCAGCAGGGAGGTGCCTGCAGGCATTGCCAGAATCACATCACCAAATGACAGAAGGGTTTGGGTTGGGAGGGACCTTAAATATCATCTAGTTCCAACCCCCTGCCATCCGCCACCCCCCCGACGCGCCCAGGCGGCCCCAAGCCCCATCAGCCTGGCCTTGAACCTTCCGGGGAGGGGACATCTACAACCTCTCTGGGCAACCTGTGCCAGCATCTCACCACCCTCACAACAAGGAGTTTCTTCATAACGTGATCTAACTGTTTCAGTTTAAAACCACCACTCCTCATCCTATCACTGCACTTCCTGGTGAATGATCCCTCCCCAGCTTTCTGGACGGCCCCTGGCAGCCCCCCGCC